CTTAGGAAGAAGGGCACTGCATGCACAGGATTGCTCAGGGGGTATGTCACTAAGCTTGTGTTTCTGCAGAGGGGTGCAGTTTTCTCTTTCCTCTGTGCTGACGTTAGTGATCACTGTGGCTGGATCAATGATTCAATGCAGAGAGCTAAGCCAGTTTAACAAAAAAAAAAAAAAGAAAAATGGGGGTCAGCAAGGTGATGTAGTTTGTGCCACATGCTCACTTCTGCTATTGTGAAATGCTGTGGAAACACTTGGCTGCAGCAGAGGTGAGGAAAGGCCAAGTCTACCAGACACTGATTTGTTTGGCAGCTGTCACCCTCCATGCAGAGCTCCACGTGCACAAGTCTGGCTCAGGGCCCAGCTTCTGCCAGGTGAGCAAAACGTGCTGGTTGTGTAAGGGCTCGTAGGTCTTCCAGGAGTGGGGAAAAGGAGCAGGGAATGGTGGGGCAAAACAATAAATGGGGAAATCTTCAGGCTGTCTGGGAAAATGAACTTTCGATTTCAACACAATAGGAAAGTGCTTTATTTTGAAGGCAGTGGATTCATTTTGTTTGAATGGGGGTTTAGCTTCTTTTTTACCCTTTTTTCCCATCCTAAACTGTCCAAAATATCGGGTGAGATGCTTTTTACTTGATGGGTAATTGTTCCCATTGTTTTTAATCCCAAAGGAACAGGATAATTGTTACAATTGTGCTAGCATGGAATGCTGGTCTACCTGAGCAAAGATGTTCAAATGCTGTTGATAGTTGCTGGTTATAATGCTGCAAAGTATTTGTATGTGTGTAATATATGTAGCACTGGCCCATGTTTGATTTCAGCTGCAGTTGGAGTCTATGTGGGGGGCAAAAATAGATCTCTGCAGAGTTCTCTTTGAAGGTTTCATTGCAGACATCACACTGGATATTGTTTTCAGTGATGTCAATATACGTGAACCATTTCATTCATCTGAATGTGTTCCTTCACATTCAGGTGAAGAATCAATCTCAAATTTGCATCACTTCTCCAAGGTACAAAGGTTTCTGCATTAATGCTATGTAAAGAAAACAAATAAAGATCTCAGTATCTGTGTGTATATACATATTTGAACCTTGTAAACTTTGTGAGAGAGCTCTTCAAAGTTCTCACAGCCTTGT